ACGTATGGAATCTCATCACCTCGTACGTACGTAGCCTCCACAATTAGGTACAAACATTAATTAAATCATCTATGGGGTTAATTCCCTCTTACAAGGTTAGAAATGAGACTTACCTCACCTCAAAGTCTACTTCCCAATTCAAGAACGCGCTCAAACCTCCAAATTTGACACCAAACGACTTGAAGCTAGTCAAACATTACATAAACTAATCAATCTGTGCTCAAAAGTTCATAATTCCACTATTTAAGTGATTACCCAACCTAAATTTCAAGAATCCTAAAATTCACCCTCGGGCCTGCATGCCTGGATTCCGAAAATGTTTAAAGAAAGTTGTTACCCATAACCTTAGGAACATAAATATATGGTTTTTTACTGGTTAAATCTCATTTTTATCAAAAACCTAGGTTTTCATCTAAACCCGTAATTTTCACTAATTGACATGTTATAACCTACCCATAAACCATGTATTTAACTCACATTTGATAGGAATTACTTACCTCAACTAGTTTATGGAAAACCCCTCTCTAACCAGGTCCACAATCACCCCCAAGAAGAGTAAGAAGTGAGCAAAAGTGCTCAAACCCCGATTTAAAACATCATTGCCCTTCAGCGATTTTCGCGCCTGCAGTTCAATTGGCTCACCTGTTATTCTGTTTTTGCGGACAAACTCGTGCAGATGCGGACCAAAGCCAGGCTGCCTCATCTCGCTTCTGTGCTCAGGCGATCGCACCTGCGGCCACGCATCAATGACAAATGACGCGCATCTGCGACACTGCCCGCTCCTGCGATGCCTGCCTTCGCACCTGCGCTTTCGTAGGTGCGGTCCTTCCTCCATTTCTGTGATGGCTGGGCAGCCTATGCTGGGATGCATCTACAATCATGGGGCTCGCACCTACGGCTCACCAAGCATAGGTGCGATTATGACATCAGCTGGAGCTTCAACTTTGGCTTCCAAATTCCAACTTGGTTCGAGCCTCGTCCGATTGACACTCGGGGCCCCCGGGGCCCCGTCCGAACATACCAAAAAGTTTCAAATCAGAAAACGTACTCGCTCCAACTCTCGAAACGCCCAAAACAACATTAAAACTAAGAATCATACCCTAAAACCAATTGAATCAAACTTAAGAACTTCAAGTTCTTCAATTTACTTCCAATGCGCCGAAACGTGTTTACACTACTCGGAATGACACCAAACTTTGTGTGAAAGTCTTAAATGACATTAAGGAACTATTCCCGGTCTCGGATTTCCGTTTGGACCTTGATACCACCAAAACCCGCTCCAAAACAAATTTAAAGAACTTTAATGTTTTTCAAGAACCAACTTTCACTATTGAGCGCCAAAACACTCCCGGGTCATCCAAAACATGATCCGAACATACGCCCAAGTCCAAAATTATCATACGAACTAATTAGAACTGTCAAATCCCGATTCCGAGGTTGTTTAATCAAAATGTTGACCGAAATCAAACTTGGCCTTTTAAGCCAACCTTAAGGAACCAAGCGTTCTGATTCCAATCCAAACTCTTCCAAATCCCAAACCAACCATCCCCGCAAGTTATAAATCAGTAAAAGCAAGTACGGGAAGTCTTATTTAGGGGAACGAGGTTCTAGAAAGTAAAACGATCGGTCGGGTCGTTACAGCTAATTAACCAGATCGTTTATATGAATTACATGTTCCCACAATACTACTCGCCTGCCCACAATATATCAACCCCATATTCCTATGGTATTGAGTCTACCATGAATGAATATAATACGATATTCAATTAAGTAAGAGTATTGGGTATATTCCTATCCTAACCGCAAAATCTTCCCCCGAGCCACAGGTTCAGAAACAAGCTCTATCTAATTCTACTCTAATCTAAATATGGCTTTCCCAAGTATAGCATATATAGTAGGGTGAATTGGTAGCTACAACAATTCACAAGTTAAAACTAGAATTAAAGAAACAACCACAAGATGATAATCCAAATTAACGAAGATGTAATTAATAAACGTTAATAATCATGTCAACCATAACCCTAGAAACATAGTACTTAGCCACTCATGTTCGTAGTAAGAATTTTCCAAATATTTTGCATAAACAAATTACAAATAAAATATAAAGGAATGAAGAACTCTATGATTTTCTCCTCCAAAAGTTGTTCCACGTGATGTTCTTGCCTCGGGTCGCAAAACTCCTCTAAAAATGGTGTTTAATGACTATTTATATGTGTAGAGAAAAGACCTAAATGAAATAACCAAGTCCAAAACCAAGTAGGTGACAAAATAGGCTTTAAAAATCCGGAACACCCTCGCCACAGACCTCGCGGCGACAGCTCAAACGCGCGCTCCAGCTCACCTCATGCCTCATGGCGCAAGCTCTGTCCCGAGCAAAATACCCTACCTCGTCTGCTTAGTAGCAAGCAATAAGGCTCGCGTCGCCTGCTTCATTTACAATTCTGTTTCTTTTCTTTCTTTGCCTACTCTTCAAGTCACGTTCCTTTTTTGTTTTCTTTCCTTTCCAATTGTTCTTTTTGTCTTCTTTTTGAGTTGTCTCTTTTGTCTTCCCACACAAAGTCAAACCTTAATATATCCACTAATTAAATAATCACAACTTCATTCTTGTAGTGTATAAAATACACATAAAATCTCTACTTTGCTCCCAATTTTGTCTTCAACGTATCTACACATAAAATAAACACAATTAAGCACAAATATAGTATAGTTTAGCATTAAAGCCCAAAATGTAAGGTAAGTAATGCACTAAAAATATGAAATTATAGCCAAACATCACTATCCCATACTTAAACGTTACTCGTGCTCGAGCAATCAAACTACACTTTATATAGACACGACCTTTTTACACAATTCTCCTAACCCATCATACCAAGAATCTTTAAAATAGACTAAGCATGAGGGTGTAACATCTTCACCTCAAGATTTGATTCACAAGTACCATGCATTATTCACAACTCACTCACGTAGAGTCAATGCCATTACCTTTCCTTCATGAATCAAGTGCCCCCACACAACAAAAGAAAGTAGTTCCACACACAATAAAATTTAAGAACAATTAGGAACTCAAGATAGAAAGAATTCACTCTCTCAGAAATAACATTCATATGCCACAAAATATGCACCATAGGCTAGCCCGTAGTGTAATACTCTACTAATCGAGCTCATTCAGTCTTGGATCAAGTAGGACTTTAATTGGTTGTAATGTAGGCTGCGGGTCGGGTAGGATACATTTGGATATAAGAGTGACTACACCTTCCTAAGCACTTTAATACATATACTTTAACATTAAAACCTCATACTTATGTCAAACCAAACTCCACCTTCACATCAATGTATATTACTCCATAATTTATTTAGCACAATTACATCAAGAGTCACCACTATTAAGGAATATTTTTCACAGCAATACAACTATATTTTTCTTTTCTTTTTCAATTCAAGTGGCTCTTACTTTTTCAAAACAGTGCTCCTTTCTCCTTATTTCTTTAGTTCCACTCAAAAGCCAAACCAACCACCCCACGCTTTAACTTTTACAAAGTTCATTACAATTCAAGTGCTCATAAGAGGTTAAAAGGTTCAAATATATGATTAATTCAAACAAATGGGTAAGGCTTGTAATGTGGTTGCCAAAGAAACATGATTACAGGCTCAAAAGGTTAACTACGATACATAACAATTAGGCAGGTAAACTATATATATCTGGCTCAACAAAGAAACACCTATATCACTTCCAAGACTGAACGAAATTACTATTTCGCTTTGCAAAGACACGTGGCAAGTTCTAGACATCAAATGCAATGCACATAAAAATACACAAACCTCACACACACATGGCACATAACTCACTCAGGATCGGACTCATCAAAACACTCTAGTCAAAGCAGTTAAGCAAATTTAAGATCACACAATTTAAGGTACTCATACAAGAGTCAAAAACTGAGCCTAAGCGTCACAACCAAAGTACTCACTATTCTCAGGGCATAACAAAGTCAAGAGATATTGCTTCAATTCAATTCATCTCACATTGGCTCCTACTCCTAAAAAAATAAAACTAACTACACCCGGTTCAAATAAAACCCTTGGAAAAGAACCGCGGCACAAAGAAAATCCAAGGGAGAATTACTACACTACCTACAAAGAAAAGCTTTTTGTGTTTTTTCTTTAGATTTAAATCCCTCAAGAAAACTGTCTAGGAGATCCATCGTCGGGAAAAGTCCAATTTTTCTACGTTTTTTTTTAATTTGTTTCATAGCTACTAAAATACTAAAACACCACACAACTACGAAAACAAAAATAAGAAGTTAACATTTTCCTAACATCCTACTACTAATTATCTCGAGAATTCTCCCACGCCACACTTAAAAGAGTGTAGTGTCCCCAATGCACAAATAAAGAAAAATAATTACGATGGTGGACAAGAAACTCCCTGAAAGGCCAAAAGCCAAAGCAATCACGGCTCACGGGGTACTCAGACTTCCCCCCAGGCATGGTCCTTAGTGTGGCACCTCACACTTTGTTCTCACTATCTAACTCGCTTTTGTACACTTCCAATGGCTTTGCCTCCTATGCTTATAATCCTACAAAATGGAAACAAGCACTACAACAATAATAAGATAATAAATAAAAATAATAGAAAGCACTAAAGATGGGTTGCCTCCCAACAAGCGCCTGATTTAACTTCGCGGGACAACACTGCTACTCTTCTCAGGCTGGGCGCTTTCTCTTCTTCTTTCTCCCATTAAGTCTAGCCTTTTTACACACTCTCAGAAGGTCTCCTCTTTCATCTCTGGCTCTTTTCTCAATCGTCCTTACACACTCAGCTTGCAATACCACCTCCTCCAACTCAGTTGTCCCATCCGAATCACTACAATTCACATAAGGACTCTGCTCTATCCCCTTCAGTTCTACCACAACAATCATGCACAAGTCCTCATAATGCTTAGGGAGCTTAAGTGTCTTGTACACATTAAAAGTGATTTTCTCATCGTCAACTCTCATATTCAACTTCCCTTCCCTAACATCAATAATCGCTCCAAAATAATGGGCACTTCCTCATCTGCCTCGTAATCAAGAACAATAAAATCAGCAGAAAGAATAAACTTTTCCACTCGAACAAACACATCCTTAATAATTCCTTCTAGCATAACTAGTGAATTATCTGCCAACAGTAAAGTGATTATAGTAGGTCTAAGCACCCCTAATCCGAGTTGCTTGATCAAAGAGGATGGCATCAAATTTATACTAGCCCTTAAATCACACAAGGCTCTACCAACTTCTTGCTTTTCGAGAGACAGATGAATTGTGAAACACCCAGGATCCTTTATCTTAGGAGGAAGTTTACTCTGAACTCTAGCACTGCACTCTTTAGTAAGTGCAACAGTTTCAAACTCTGTATGTCTTTGCTTGTTTGCCACAATATCTCTGAGATACCTTACATACTTAGGCACTTCCTGCAAAACTTCCACCAAAGAAAAATTCACACGCACTTGGCTCAAAATATCAAAGAATTTCTTGTACTTAGCGTCATCTTTTTGCTTTTGCAGTCTTTGTGGAAATGGAGGTGATGGCCTTGTCACAATTACTGGCTCTGATCCTTTGTTCTCTTTCTCATTCTCCTCAACTGGCTTATGAACTAATTCTCCTTCAGGACTAGCTGTATACTTCTTTTTCTCTGAAACTTCTTCTAATGTTCTTCCATTTTTGAAGGTAACCGCATTGACTTGAGCCTTAGGATTAGGCTCAGTATCACTCGGGAGAGCTCCAGCAGGTCTAATATTCTGATTGTTAGCCATTTGCCTGAACTACCTCTCTAGATTTCTGAATTCTGTGCGCAATTGTTGATTCTCAGCCCTGACTTGTTGATTCTCAGCCATAACTTTTCGATTGTCTATCAAGAGCCTTTTCATCATGTCAATCAAACTCTCCTCTGCTTGCTGTGGAGGTTGAGGTAGATGATTGTAATTCACTTGAGGTCTGATATTCTGATTTCCACCACAAGAGAAGTTAGGATGACTCATCCAGTTCGAATTGTATGTGTTACCATATTGGGCATGTTGATTCATTGGTCCTCTAGCTTGTTGCCCCACATAGTATATTGATTCAGGATTCACGGGACATGTGTCACTTGTGTGACATTCACTACATAAATCTTAGCAAGTAGACATCTATTGCACATGTTGCATCTGTTGTGCATGATGCATTGTCATTTTATTCATCTGATTCGCTAATCTTGCTATATCTTCCCTCGTTGCTGAGAAATCATCAAGCTCGATCACACCTGCTACCTCTTGTTTAAGTGCTCTTCGTGGTTCCCCATATCCTTGCCAATTATTATCATTAGCAGTGAAATAGTTTAGCAGGATCTGGATCTCACTATACGGTCTTGCCATGCAACTATCCCCACATTCTGAGTCAAGATTCATCTTTGATGCCTCGTCTAACCCATCAACGAAAGTGTGACCCAGCACCTCATCGGTCTAACAATGGTATGGGTAGTCTTCGAGTAGCTTCTTGTATCTTTCCTAAGCTTGTCAAAGAGTCTCACCATGTCATTGTTGAAACCCAAGAATCTGGCTCCTCAGCGACTTTGTCTTCTTCGTGGGAAAAAACGTGATTAAGAATTTCCTTGCTAGATCATCCCAATTGTGAATTGAGTTCGCGGGCTCCTTTTGTAACCATTCCTTAGTTCCCCCATTAGTGAAAAGGGAAATAGTGTCTGTCTGACATAGTCCTTGGAAACATTCGGATAATTGTAAGTGTCTGTAATATCCAGGAAGTTCTGAATGTGCCTCTGCGGTTCTTCATAAGATAGACCCACATATTGCCTTGTTGATTGAATTAGCTGTACCATATACTGTTTAAGTTCAAAGGGACCCGTGATACAAGGCTTCACAATCGCCTGAGTCATAAGAGCCAGATTGGGCCTTGCAGCCTCTATCACTGGACGCTCTTCATTACCCGCTATCTCTATTGGCTGTGGTTGAACTACAATGTCCAACTCTGTTTTAATTCTAGTTCTAGCCTTGACTTAGGAAGGAGATTGTTTGCGCTTCTACTCCTACGCATTTAAGAGAGGAGCCTGCGTTATCACAAATAAGGAAAACTAAAAATTAAAACTTGAACAAATAAAGAATTTAAAAGCTTAACTTAGCTAAACAATCAATAACTAAGTCCCCGACAACGACGCCAAAAACTTGTTGGTTCCCCAAGTACACGCAAGTATACGTGGTCTTCAAGTAATAAAGTGACTCAAAAGTCGGATGTCGAACCCATAGAGACTTAGATCAATTGTCAACTAAACAAACTAAAATCAATTAATTGTCCAAGATAATCAAGAGTGATATTTTTCTATTAATCTACTATTGCGGAAATTAAACAAGTAACAACTAACTTATCAATAATGCAAATATATATGAAGAGATTTTACTTCAGAGGAGATAAAAATTACAGGGTCGTGGTTGGTTTATCAATCCTATTAAGTTCAATAATCACACTCGTTAATCAAGATTATCTATGGTTTCTAATTAACCAAATCATTTATATGAATAGCATGTTCCCACAATACTACACTTTAGCCATACTTTATTTATCTTCCTTTGTTGTAGGACACATCATCTTGTTCAACTTCATATGACCAACAAGAGGCGTGCTAACTAGTTTAGCACTCATCATGTTGAAGCGTTTAAGTACACGTTCAATATACTTCTGTTGTGACAACAACAACTTACTATTTGTGCTATCTCGGACAATCTCCATTCTTATAATTTTTCGTGCTGGACCCAAGTCTTTCATGTCAAATGCCTTGGACAAATCTTCCTTCAACTTGGTAATCAACTTCTTGTCTTGTCCTATAATCAGCATGTCATCCACATATAACAACAAGATGATGAAGTTATTGTAAGAGAATTTCTTATAATATACACATGGATCTGAAAAAGTCTTTGTGTATGTTTGACTTCTCATGAATAATTCAAACTTCTTGACCACTGCCTTGGCACTTGTTTCAGCCCATAAAGACTTTTTTTCAATTTGCACACCATGTGTTTCTTTGCCTTTACTTCAAAACCTTATGGCTGCTCCATATAGATTTCTTCTTCCAAATCTCCATGTAAAAATGCAGTTTTGACATCCAACTGCTCCACTTCAAGATCTAGGTTAGCTTCCAAGCTCAAGATTGTTCGAATATAGGTCATTTTGACAACAAGTGAGAAAATTTCATCAAAATCAATACCTTTCTTCTGATCGAAACCTTTTACCACCAATCGAGATTTGTATCTCACCAACTTGCTGTTTTCATCTTTCTTGAGCTTAAAGACCCATTTGCACTTGAGGGGACTTTTGCCTTTTGGAAGTTCAACCAGTTCATACGTGCCATTCTTCCATAGAGAATCTAGCTCTCCTCGCATGGCTTCCATCCTCTAGATTTATTCTGGATGAGATATCACCTCCTTGAAATTCTCTGGCTCCCCCTCATCAGTGACGAGGATATACTCTGAATAAGGATACATCGTGGACTCTACCTTCTCTCTTTCTGATCTTCTCAAAGTTTGTTGTCATTATTGTTGTTGTTGTTGCTTTTATTCTTCCTCTTATGAAATAGGATGCTCCCCCTGCTCATCAATCTCTTTATCTACACCTTCCGTGTGCCATTCTTCACATGTGGAAGGATTACGCACATGTATAGTAAGAGTAGTAACAAAGTTAATGACTATACCGTTATCATTTTTGGTATTTGTTGATTGATCACCATCAATCCCGACCACATCTTCTCTGAAGATCACATCTTTGCCTCTGATGATCTTCTTCCTTTCTAGGTCCCATAATCTGTAGTCGAACTCTTCATCTTCATAACCGATAAAGATACATGGAATAGTTTTGTCATCCAACTTCATTCTCTGCTCCTTTGGCACATGTGCAAAAGCTTTACATCTAAACACTTCCAGATGGAAGCAGGACACCTCTTTGTTGGTCCAGACTTTCTCTGGAATGCCAAAATCCAATGGAACTGATGGATTTCTATTAATCAGGTAACAAGATGTGCTATCTGCTTCACCCCAAAATGACTTAGATAGTTTTGCCATTTTGAGCATACTTTTCACTTTTTGACAATGATGTGATTCATCATTTCAGCTACACCATTGTGTTGTGGGGTTCGGGGAACTGTCTTCTTATGTAATATATAAACCCTATATTCCTATGGTATTGAGTCTATCATGAACGAATATAATACGGTATTGAATTAAGCAAGACTGTTAGGTATATTCCTATCTTAACTGCGAAATCTTCCCCCGAGCCACGGGTTCAGAAACAAGCTCTCTCTAATTGTACTCTAATATAAACATGGCTTTCCCAAGCATAGCATAGATAGTAGGGTGAATTGGTAGCTACAACAATTCACAAGTTAAAACTAGAATTAAAGAAACAACCACAGGATGATAATCTGAATTAACGAAGATGTAATTAATAAACGTTAATAATCATGTCAACCACAACCCTAGAAACAAAGTGCTTAGCCACTCATGTTCGTAGTAATAATTTTTCAAGTATTTTGCATAAACAAATTACAAATAAAATATAAAGGAATGAAGAACTCTATGATTTTCTCGTCCAAAAGTTGTTCCACGTGATGTTTTTTCTTCTGGTCGCAAAACTCCTCTAAAAATGGTGTTTAATTACTATTTATATGTGTAGGGAAAAGATCTAAACGATATAACCAAGTCCAAAACCAAGTAGGAGATAAAATAGGCTTTAAATATCTGGAACACCCTCGCTAAAGACCTCGCGGCGCCAGCTCAAACGCGCGCTCCAGCTCGCCTTAGGCCTCATGGCGCAAGCTCTGCCGTGAGAAAAAACACCCTGCCCTGCCTTCTTTGTAGCGAGCAATAAGGCTCGCGTCACATGCTTCATTTATAATTCTGTTTCTTTTTCTTTCTTTGCCTGCTCTTCAAGTCACATTTTTTTTTTGTTTTTTTCCTTTCCAATTGTTCTTTTAGTCTTCTTTTTGAGTTGTCTCTTTTGTCTTCCCACACAAAATCAAACCTAAATATATCCACTAATTAAATTTTCACAACTTCATTCTTGTAGTGTATAAAATACACATAAAATCTCTACTTTGCTCCCAATTTCGTCTTCAACATACCTACACATAAAATAAACTCAATTAAGCACAAATATAGTATAGTTTAGCATTAAATCCCCAAAATGTAAGGTAAGTAATACACTAAAAATATGGAATTATAGCCAAACATCAATATCTACAACGGATTAGGAGCCGAAGCCCCAGGTAGCTTCCACTACCAGGGGTACAAGCCGAGGTCGAGCTAGACGTAGAGGCAGAGCTCAGCCTAGAGCACGTGCAACAACACCTATTCCGGAGCCTCAGATCGAGTAGGAGGAGGAGGTTCCTGTTCAGACCGTGCGTGTTAGACCAGCTCAGGTCCCGGAGGGGTTTATTGCTACCCCCGTGCTTCAGGATGCTCTAGTCTGCTTGGTGGCTCGTATGGAGAGTGTGGCCTAGACCGGTGCATTTATTGTGGCACCACTCGTCTCTCAGGCTGGGGAAGATCACAGACTCCTGCTACTCGCACTTTGGAGCAGATGGCTCCCATATATCAGACTCCAGCAGTTTTTCCAGTTGGGATAGCTCAACCTATTATTGCTACACAAACCGGGGAGAGGCCCGCGATGTCTTTATAAGGATTGATGAGGTTGGATAAGTTCACAAATTTCTTCCCTGTTCATTTTAGTGGTTCCCTTTCTGATGACCCACATGATTATTTGGACAGTTGCTACG